TATGAAAACAAAACAAAACAAAACAAAACAAAACAAAACAAAACCCACAAAAAACAAAACTGAGCAAGGAAATCTATTTTAGAAAAACCATGTCTGTGAAAAACTTCATTTATTGGACTAAAATGTTGACCCCAAATAGGGCAGGAGAAACTGTCACATTTCTCTGGTTCCAGGCAAAAATATTTATTTATTTATTTATTTATTTATTTTTGAGATGGAGTCTCGCTCTGTCACCCAGGTTGGCGTACAGTGGCGCGATCTCGGCTCACTGCAAGCTCCACCTCCCAGGTTCACGCTGTTCTCCTGCCTCAGCCTCCTGAGTAGCTGGGACTACAGGTGCCTGCCACCACACCTGGCTGATTTTTTGTATTTTTAATAGAGACGGGGTTTCACTGTGTTAGCCAAGATGGTCTTGATCTCCTGACCTTGTGATCTGCCTGCCTTGGCCTCCCAAAGTACTGGGATTATAGGCGTAAGCCACCGTGCCCGGCAGGCAAAAATATTTATAAAAGAAAAATATAATCAAAATACCTATTTTTAATTGGATATTTGAATTTTACATCAGAAAATTTAATCTCTAATATAGTTATGTTACATTCTTATACCACAGTACAATACAAAAAATAAAATTCTTACATTTGATTCTTGCTACTCCGACTCTTTCATTAATTTACCATGTCCTCCTGTCCTTTGTGAGGATTTGAGATTTCCTGCATTTTTTTCTGGGTACAAAGCAGTGACCTGAAACATTCAGACTTTTCAGAACAATTTGTCATTTTTCCATAATGGAGGAAAACAAGAGCAGAAAGTCCAGAACTTTAGAGTCAAGGGCAATGGAGAATTTCAGTCCAACCATATTACCAAATGGGAACAGACTAGAAGTGAAGATCTTATTTAAAAAATCTGAACTCAAGATTTCCTAAAGTTCTCTTACTTTTGTTTTGCTGTTGAGTCACAAGGCAAGTCTCAATATAACCTGTCTATGGGAGAAAATTACTAAGCCCCAAGAGCCCACTAGAAAGATGCAGGGAGGATCTGTGTTGGGTGTACAGGCCAATAGCAACTTAGAGAATGGAACCCTCTGCCATACTGTGAGAAGAAAAACTACAAGATTAATGTGATACCCAGCTTATCAACTAGTATTTCATAACACCTTAAAAAATTCATACATCATAAATTACAGAAATAATAACCAATTAAGAACTTAATCATTTGTGAAGTAGAGCTATTGGTTCGTAGTTAAGTGCTTGGTAATTGTGTCGTTCACTAATTAATTTTTAAAAATATGTATTTTTTGGCATCAACTATCTGCCAAGCAGTTTTCCAGGTGCTGGAGAGCAGTAAGAACAAAAATCTCTGCCCTTATGGAGTATATATTTTAGAAGGGAGAGAAAGACTAAATAAATAGATCATGTCCTGGAGAAGGTGAAATTTGAGAGAATTTTGACAAGAACTCAGAGCCCAATAATCCTGAGGTTTTTAAGTAAAAACAGTTCTATTGGCCAGGCGCGGTGGCTCACGCCTGTAATGCCAGCACTTTGGGAGGCAGAGTCGGGTGGATCATGAGGTCATGAGATCGAGACCATCCTGGCTAACATGTTGAAACCCCATCTCTACTAAAAATACAAATAATTAGCCAGGCGTGGTGGCGGGCACCTGTAGTCCCAGCTACTCGGGAGGCTGAGGCAGGTGGATGGCGTGAACCCGGGAGGCTGAGCTTGCAGTGAGTCAAGATTGTGCCACTGCATTCCAGCGTGGGCAACAGAGTGAGACTCCATCTCAAAAAAAAAAAAGAGTTCTATTGGCTGAGTGATTCTTATAATTCAGAAGTTTATTTCATTTATTCTTACAACTTTCTAAGGGGTATTTTATTCCCTTTCTACAAATGAAGAAACTTTCAAAATCAAATAGCAGATCAATGATGGCTTCATAATAATTCACATGGAAACTTTACTTTAAAAGTGTAATTCAGGCAAAATTCATTCCATTAGAATTTGAGTGTTCTTTCAGTATTAAGACAATTCATGAAACTTTTATAATGACACTCTACCTCTGCCTTCAATGAACTTTAATTAGTTTTGAACATAAGCCTCTAATTATTTATGCATACCATTTTAAAATGCTTTCTAAATATGATGACATGTGATTTCAGAGCGGGAATAAACCTTAATAATTTTCTATTCCAGTTTTCTATCCCCTTCCTTTTTTTTTTCTTGAGATGGAGTCTCGCTGTGTTGCCCAGGCTGGAGTGCAGTGGTGCGATCTCACATGCCTCTGGGGTTCACACCATTTCCTGCCTCAGCCTCCGGAGTGGCTGAGACTACCGGTGCCTGCCTAATTTTTTTTTTTGTATTTTTAGTAAAGATGGAGTTTCACTGTGTTAGCCAGGATGGTCTCGATCTCTTGACCTCATGATCTGCCCGCCTCAGCCTCCCAAAGTGCTGGGATTATAGGTGTGAGCCACCACGCCCGACGCTTCCTTCATTTTTAACCAATGAAAAAAAGAAGGTAAAAAATATCCAAATATATGTGTTTCCTTGTTAGTTACCTAAGACGGACTCAGGCCTTTTGATTTCCAGTCCACTTTTATTTATTTCTCTTTCTTTTCTTTTCATTTTTTTTGAGACAGAGTCTCGCTCTGTCACCCACGGTGGAGTGCAGTGGGGCGATCTCAGCCCAGTGCAACCTCTGCCTTTAGGGTTCAAGCGATTCTCCTGCCTCTGATGCCCAAAGTGCTGGGATTACAGGTGTGAGCCACTGCTCCCAGCCTTTTTTTTTTTTATAAAACTATTATGATTTAAAAAATAATCTTACCATTCTGTAATGTCCATAGTGATCATCAGTGATTTATTCGAATAACTTTTTCCATAGTACTCTGCATTTTGCACATATAATATATATAAGAAACCATTACAATAGTACAATAAAAAGTTAATAACTCAGTTCTCAAAGACTTATTAGGAATGTTGTTTCAGCATAACTTTGAACAGTGTATTTATTTAGAAAACATACAGATTTACACAACAGTGGATGATACCATCATGCAGGGCGTAGAGAAGCTGGAATTAAGTGTCTGAGCCACATGGGAGAAGCAGCTCTCCGGCTCCTGCTGGTGTTTTTACAGAAGGTGTTGACAAGCTCTCATTTAGCACTGTTGCTGATACTTGCCACAAAGGATGAAATGAGCAAAAGAGAAGTGGCTTGTGCCAGTCACCTGAGCCAATAAATTGTTGCCTTAAAGAGCTGACTACAGGCCAGCCGCGGTGGGCTCATGCCTGTAATCCCAGCACTTTGGGAGGCCAAAGTGGGCAGATCACCTGAGGTCAGGAGTTCGAGATCAGCCTGACCAACATGGAGAAACCCTGTCTCTACTAAAAATACAAAATAAGCCGGGCATGGTGGCGCATGCCTGTAGTCCCAGCTTGATATGATCTCAACAGCACAATAACAAAAGCACAAGTACAGAAATGAAATTACATGAAACTAAAAAGCTTCTGCACAGCAAAGGAAACAATAGGGTACAACCTACAGAATGGAGATACAACCTACAGAATGGAGATACAACCTACAGAATGGAGAAAAAATATTTATAAACTATAGATCTGATAAGGAGTTAATATTCAAAATACATAAGGAACTCAACTCAATAGCAGGAAAACGACCCATTTAAAAATGGGCAAAGAACCTGAAAAGACAGTTCTCAAAATAAGACATGCAAATGGCCAGCAGATATGTGAAAAAATTATCAACATCAGCAGTCACCAGGGAAATGCAAATTAAAACAATGAGATATCACCTAACACCTGTTAGAACGGCTATTATCAATAAGGCAAAAGATAACAAGTGTTGGCAATGATGTGGAGAAAAAGGAATTCTTGCATATTCTTGGTAGGAATGTAAATTAGTACAGCCATTATGGAAGACAGTATGGAAGTTCTGCAAAAAGTTAAAAATAGAACTACATATGATCCAGCAATCCTACTACTGGGCTTATATCCAAAGGATATGAAATCAGTATGTCAAAGAGATATCTGCACTACCAGGTTCATTGCAGCATTATTCACAATAGCCAGGATATAGCATCAACCTAAGTATCTATCAATGGTTGAATGGATAAAGAAAATGTGGTACATATACGCAAACAGCTGATCTCATAGAAGTAGAGAGTAGAATGGTGGTTACCAGGAGCTAGGGTGGTTGCAGAGACATTGGTCAAAGGATACAAAATTTCAGTTAAATAGGGGGAATTAGTGCAAGAGACCTATTGCACAACATAGTAACTCTAGTTACAAGATTACAATTAATTTTGAAAAATGATAAGAGAATGGATGTAAAGTGTTCTTACCACAAAAATGGTCACTATGTGAGGTAATGCATATGTCAGTTAGCTAGATTTAGTCATTCTATAATGTATACATGCTTCAACACAGTATGTTGTACATGGTAAATACATACAATTTTATCTGTCAATTGAAAAAAAAATCAATTGTAAAAGCAGGTGCTTGGAAAACATTTAGCTGGAAAGGTCTGATATGAGGTCTAACCTTACACACTTAAAAACTGAACAACTGGCCGGGTGAAGTGGCTCACGCCTGTAATCCCAGCACTTGGAGAAGCTGAGGCGGGTGGATCATTTGAGGTCAGTAGTTCACCTGGCCAACATGGTGAAACACCATCTCTACTAAAAATACAAAAAATTAGCCAGGTGCCATGGCGGGAGCCTATAATCCCATCTACTTGGGAGGCTGAGGCAGAAGAATTGCTTGAACCTGGGAGGCGAAGGTTGCAGTGAGCCGAGATGACAACACTGTACTCCAGCCTGGGTGACAGAGTGAAACTCCATCTCAGAAAACAAAACAAAACAAAAAAACCCCTCAACAACTGTATACTTTTGGTATTCAAACTCATAAAAGCCTCATTTACTAGTCTACTGCTGGTAAGGATCAGGAAGGGAATATTAATATTACCTTCATGATAATCACCTGTGGGTTGACACAGGAGACAGTAACATAGAAATTTTATTACAACATTTCATATTTAAGCCAGATTCCCTGCCAGGATATTTTCTGCTTGAATTAATGAGGCAGGATTTCGTCATATCTTAATGAGTTTCATAAAAAAAAGAGTTCAAGCATTAGTGCAAACTGCCTTCTGACATTAAAATAAAATAAAGCAAACATGGGATTTTCACAAAGTTAAAAGCCTCCTGTGATGCACATTTTGGATTGTAGGAGACATTGAGCCCAAAAATGTTTAACATAAAGCATGGTTAATTAAATGAAACCATTGAAAAATGTGAATACATGAAGAAGAAAGAATAAAATAATTTTGATGTTACCATTTCAACTACTATTTTTGATATAATTATTCTTGGCAAAATCATTCTTGAAGGTGGAAATGAGCAGGCCGATAGTATAGCAAGTAAGAGAAAGTCAATACTGGTGGCCTCCACTTGCTGATCCTCTGAGACTGCATCTTATAGTTCATAAAATCTGCTGAAGGTCACAATTGAGGTACAATGACTTGTGTACTTGTACTGTAGCAAGGAGGGCTTCCCCAGGCCACAGCATCTGGGATCAAGGAACACATTTTGACTAAATAAACTACACAGAAGCCTGTTATAGAATTTTATGCAAATATTAACCTCATTTTAAAACATGAGGAAAAAAATTACCCACATTTAGGGCTAATTTAGCTGTCAGGAATAGACCGTACAGTTGGAAAAAACATACGGTCTCATTTAAAAAGTTTCAGCAGAGACACAAAGGTACTAAAGGTGATATTCATCCTTCTTCATCACTGCTGCTCCAGGCATCTTCAAAGGCCGGATTTAATTGTGATTTTGTTGTAGTCTAAAAAAAGAAAAAAAAAAAGAAAAAGGAAGGTTCTGTTTTTTCTACTTCATAATTTTAGGCTCATAATAAAGTTACGAAATATATCAGATAAATAGCAATTACATTATTTTGGAGGAAAATGTAAAACTTAATTTCAGAACAAAAATAATATAAGAAACAACCCATATACAATATAAGATAATGTAACTTCATTTTAAACAGACAATACCAGACTTTACCCAAACATCGTTTTCTTTAATCACCTTACAAATACATACAAACATACATACATACACACATACATACACTATGATGCTGCTATTTCTCAAGGTATTTCTCAACAACTCTTTGGAATTATCTGGTGAAAGTGGCACTCTGATATCCATGGGCTAAGTCTGGACTCCAGGTGTACAGTCTGATCTGACAGCCCAAAATATCAATGTTGGCAACTCTTTAATTGTTTAGATGAAAATAACTTTTATAAATAAACAAATACCCAAATATGGAGAATAAGGTATTCAAGCTGAAAAATACCATTTTTAGTCCAAATATAATGTGGTTTTTTTTTTTTTTTTTTTTTTTTTTTGAGGCAGAGTCTCTCTCTGTTGCCCAGGCTGGAGTGCAGTGGCCGGATCTCAGCTCACTGCAAGCTCCGCCTCCCGGGTTCACACCATTCTCCTGCCTCAGCCTCCCCAGTAGCTGGGACTACAGGTGCTCGCCACCTCGCCCGGATAGTTTTTTGTATTTTTTAGTAGAGACAGGGTTTCACCGTGTTAGCCAGGATGGTCTCGATCTCCTAACCTCGTGATCCGCCCGTCTCGGCCTCCCAAAGTGCTGGGATTACAGGCTTGAGCCACTGCGCTCAGCCAATGTGGGTTATTAAGTAGTGATATTTATGTACTTATTTGTAAGTAGTGATATTTATTTACTTATTTTTATAGGTTGGTAGGGCAGTTCAGTAAAACATGCAAAACAGGTCAGAAATGGTAACATGTTTATAATCAGGACATAGGTTTCCCTCAGGGATTTGTCTGAAGGATAACATCTATCTAGATGATGTTTATTTAAAACAACAAAAAGGTGATTAGCAACTAGAGAAATTTTAATCATCTGTGGTATTTCAAACCAGTTCATTTTGGGGAAAACTTCTGAATAGCTACTTCTGATTCTCTTGCAAATAACTAAAAGGGCTTATTTGGTCTCATTTTTAAAGTAACTGCGTATTATGAGCCAGGTTTGCTTCTTTTTGTGCAACTTTTACAACTGCTACAATTTTATTCAGATTCCAATTCCAATGCTGTATTAGCATCGAGACTACTGTTAAATTGTTTTAGAGGTACTGCCTTTTATAACTTACAGAAATATTTTTTAAGGATAACCCCTACTGCATGTCTGAGAATGTTTATTTTTCTTTTGATGAATATAACTGTGAATCTTACAATTCAAACAATGAAAACAGTAGAAAAAGTTAAGTGTTCCCAGTAAATTTCCCAAGTATCAGCTAGAATAGTTGGAAAACAATATACTAATTTAGGCGTTCTTTACTGTTAAACAGATTACATTATTAAACCTAATGTCGGCTATACTCCAAATGTCCAGATACAAAATTATTATTATTATTATTATTATTTGAGATGGAGTCTCATTCTGTTGCCTAGGCTGGAGTACAGTGGCATGATCTCGGCTCACTGCAACCTCTCCCTCCTGGGTTCAAGCGAGTCTTCTGCCTCAGTCTCCTGAGTAGCGGGGACTACAGGTGCGTGCCACCACACCCGGTGAATTTTTGTTTTTTTAGTAGAGATGGGGTTTCACCATATTGGCCAGGCTGGTCTCGAACTCCAGACCTCGTGATCCACCAGCCTTGGCCTCCCAAAGTGTTGGGATTACAGGCGTGAGCCACTGCTTCCGGCCATGAAATTATTATTAAACCTCAGCTAACTACTCACCGATTTCTAGCCACAGTCCACTTATTTGCAACAGTTGTATACTGAAGTCTCTTCATTTATTCTTTCATCCAAACATTTACTGAATTTCCTGTCTTTTTGGGTTTTCAATTTAACTATTAAATTACGTTATTTAGTGAGAGTTTATTAAAAGACATCTTGTCATCAGGGGTTAGCTGACTACTCTTCCCTACTCTGTCTCTAGAAGCCTTTAACTTTGCCTTTGATAGCTACCAAAAATAGCCCTGGGAAAACACACACACACACACACACACACACATGTCCCTAGGTGGATAAGCCACACAAGGGCCATGCTTCCTAATCCTACTATGGAAACCTAGTGTGTAACCTATTAAAAATTTTAATTTCAGTTGAAAACTCAACAGAAAAGCAAAATTACACTTCATTATATGTTATTTTTGTATGGTAAGCAAAGAAACAAATGAAAATCATAATCAGTTGCATATAAATTATTTCACTTTTCAGTGACACAATGATATATGAATGCATTACAGTATTTTAGAAATATATTTTATTGCCAAAACAATCACAAATAAAATATTATACTGGTAGTATGATAAAGCTGCAGTAAAAATGTGGTAGATGGATATGGTACACATTACCATTTGAGACCCACTGATCAAGTGTCACTACTATTATTTCAGTTTTCTCTACATCTCCTCCTAGTAGACATCCAGTCTGTGCTTGAACATATTCATCTATATCTCACCAGGTTGTCAGTTCTACTGACAGATAGTGTCAATGTTATAGAAATAATGAAGCATGAGTTTAGAGGGGACCTAGTTATGAGTTTAGAGAAGAAATAGAACCAAACTTAACATCTACAAGGATATTTCTTGATAACTTTCAAATTTCTGACTGGTAATTAGTGGCAAGTCTCAGGGTTGTTTGTTAGCAAGTACATCGACACAAGTGGTATGTAAAACAGTTATATATTGTGTGAATGTCAAAACAAAGTAAGATTCTTAGTGAGAGGTCACGTGTAAACTGGAATAAACCCGCCCTATAGATCTCAGGCAGGAAAAAGTAATTAGGAGTTATAGATAGGCTTGTCTTGACCAGACCAGCTTTTAGAAAATAGGGTCAAAAGGAAGCCACATTCCTCAAAATATAATAAAAGAGTCTGCCAATTAAATAAAAGGATTTATAGTTAAAGACCACAAATCCTGTCCCTATCATCCAGTGTTCTTCCTTTCTTTAGACAGAATTAAATTCATCTTCTACTTTGGATATCAGGAGAAACACCCCTAAGGGATTATCTTGGTTGATGGGGAGGTAACTCTCATCTGAAGAATGCATTTGAAAGGAAACCTAAGAATAAGTTTGATTAGACAATTCTGATGTTTGGAAATATCATGAGCTTGTCCCAGATCATAAGTATAATAAATGGCAGAACTGGGATTCAAACCCAGTTTCCTGAAGCTAAAGACTAAGTATGTGTATGTATACGTGTGTGTGGTTTTTTGTTTTGTAGTGTGGTACACTGCCTCCTTGGGAAATAAATATCAAATAAATATACTTATTTTATAGTTGGGATAAAAGCACTTTTAAACATGGCTTAAATTATAAACATACATGTAAGGAATAGGGTCTTCTGGACAGACTATTCTACTGGGATCTGCATTATGATCACATTCATATATTCACAGGAATGTTTCAAGCTAAAATTTTACGGGAATAACCTTAGCACATACCATTTTATATTAGTATGAGAATGACTGCTATCTTTAAATATATGAACATGACATTTTAAAAGGTAAGGTTTTATAGCACTAAAACATATACAAAGGTCAACTTGGTTTTTGTATATCTCTATGTGATTTTCTAACTTGTTTTGCTTAATTTCTCATATATACAAGTTTGTTTACACAAAGAGTTCAAACTATCACTATAATGACATAACAAGGAAATAAACCATCAGTCACATATTATCTTTTTTTTCTTTGAGTCAAGGTCTCACTCTCACCCAGGCTTTGAGTATAGTGGTACAATTGTGGCTCACTGCAGCCTTGAACTCTTGGGCTCAAGTGATCCTCCGACCTCACCCTCTTAAGTAGCTGGAACTATAGGTGAAAGCCACCAAACCTGGCTAATTTTGTTTATTTTTTGTAGAGATGGGGTCTTTCTATGTTGCCCAGGCTGGTCTTGAACTCCTGGACTGAAGTGATTCTTCCACTTCAGCCTCTCAAAGTGCTGGGATTACAGATGTGAGCCACCACACCTGGCCACATATTATCTTTATGAATTAAACAATTTAGTATTCTTCTAACATCCTTTTCTATACGTAAGTCACTATAGATTTATTTTTCATTCATTTTTAATGTTTTCATTTGGTAAATAAAATGTTAACCTCCTAACATGGCTTACAGTGTTATAACTTGATTTTAATGTATACAGCAATTCCCAAAGAGCAAGACACAATAATTACATAATGAAATGTAAAATAAATGGCTAAATCTAATTATTTGACCATACTAAGCTTTATACAGAAGAATATTCTGACATCAAAAGCAGCTGTATGCTAAAGTTAATCAAGCCACAATAAACCAAATTAGACATGTGATAAAATCTGGAAGTATGCATATGGCATTGGCTGGCTACTTAAAGATTTATCAAAGCGTATTTTTTTTCTCTTTCTTTGGATTAAGGACAAAAGAAAATAATTCACAGGTTTGTACTGCAGTAAACCCTAGCAGTTGAAAATTTAGGTATGAAATACATATTGTCAATAGCTCTGAGATGCTATCAACTACCTCTATACAAATTATATTTTCATGTGGTTTTTGACATAGTCCTAGTTTTATGAAGGAACTAAACACAGTATATGAAAAATGTTTTTTGAACGTCAAAAGTGCTTTACCAGTAAGTTTTCCTCCACCTCCATTTAAGATGCTTTTACTATGACTTGGTTAAGATTACCTTAAGGTATTTCTAACTACATTATCTATATTTCCAAATTAAAGAAATATACATATATATATATATAAACTTTGTTTTTAGATATTGCATTTGGATTTTTTATATTGTAGAAATTAAGATAAATGAGGATGATTAAGAGTGCTTAGGAGAATAAACCTTGTAGGACAGAAACCACCTTTAAACAGCCTGTATCTTCCAACTGCTTGATGCAAAAGCTAAAAAAAAATACAGAAGCTATTACTTTAGGTCAGGGACAATGGTCTTGTTCATCTTTGTTTACCTACTGCGTTTTTAAGGTCTGTATTTACACTGTCATGTTTATACTGATTTATTTTCTATGAAAGGCACTGTCAGACTGCTGGTAGGGGTGTAAACTGGTAAAATTTGACATGAGAATAAAGTCTTAAAAATGTCGGCTGGGAGTGGTAGCTCATGCCTGTAATCCCAGCACTTTGGGAGGCCAAGGCAGGTGGAACACTTGAGGCCAGGAGTTGAAGACCAGCCTGACCAACATGGTGAAATCCCATCTCTACTAAAAATACAAAAATTAGCCAGGTGCGTGGTGCACCTGTAATCCCAGCTAGCAGGAGGCTGAGGCAGGAGAACTGCTTGAACCCAGGAGGCTGAAGTTGCAGTGAGCTGAGATTGTGCCACTGCACTCCAGCTTGGGTGACAGAGTGAGAGACTCCATCTCAAAAAAAAAAAAAAAAAAAAAAAAAAGAAAAGAAAAAAAGTCATATATAATAATTTAAAAGATAATTCCTTCTAAAGTCTATCTAAACACATAGTCAAATATTAACAATTTTTTAACAGATATTTACCTTGATATTTATAATAATCAAACAGATATTTACCTTGATATTTATAATAATCAACAGAAATTCCTCCAACGAGGTAAATATTTAAATTGTGTTTTATCAATGACAGAATAATATATCATTAGAAATGTTTACACATAGTTATTAATGACATGAAAAAAGGTTTATTGTACAATGTTGATGAGAAAAGTAAGATACCAAGTTGAATGTCCAACCATGATATGAACTATGTTAAAAAACATACTCATAGGAAAAAACAGTTATGAAACAAATCAAAATGTTAATATTGATTAATTTGATTTGAGGAATTTTATGTTCTTTTTATATTTCTCTGAATTTTCAAAATGTATTAAAACAGTCAAATTATTTTTACAGAAAATGCCAAGAAATGCTTTTTTGTTGTTGTTGTTTTGAGATGGGGTCTCACTACATTGTCCAGGCTGGTCTTGATTTCCAGGCTCAAGTGATCATCTTGCCTCAGTCTCCCAAGTACCTGAGACTATAGGTGCATGCCACTGGCAAGAAATGCTTTAAAGTCTCTCTCATATAAAGGAACAAAACATTATTTCTTATGATTTAGAAGTCACTATACAATTTGTGAAAATAATGTTTACCTCATCATCATCAGGAACTGGTTCGTATAAGGATGGAACCCAAGCCAGAATGTTGCAGTCTCTGCTACCACTGTAAAGTTCCTACAACACAGAAGGCAAAGATGATATTGTGGATCAAGAGCTGATACCAAACTGAAATGAATTATACCATTTTTGAAATAATTAGGTCACAGTAATTAGATTAATGCTATTTCTACTCCCTAAAGAAACTAGGCTGATGCTCTTTTTCCTTTGTTTCTTTGTTAGTAAAGCTTTGTTTTGTATTTAAAAATAGTATTAGGATTTGTCAAGCTTACTAATGCGTGTGAAAATTTTACAAATACACCCCAAATCCTAGCAGTTTTATCAATTATAGTATCCATATATTTTTAATGTCAGAGAAAGAGTTTGTCTTTCTGTGTCCAAATAACTAAGCTTCAATAAAGACTTCAGTGAAGAAACCATATGAGCTTCTAAAACAGGCCAAGTTCTCAAAAAGTTTTATTTAATTTACAGCTGCCTAACTGGCTGCAATTCAACAGAAGAGCTTGAAGATGTATATTCCATACCTGTTGAGAAGTTTACTTCATAAGGAAGCTTGGGGTGATGCACAGCCTATGTCAATGTCTATGGATATGCTGTTTGCTTATGGCTGAACAATGCTCACGTCCCTCCCCCCCAAAAATCAAAGAAATATGTTATATTGGCTTTTTTCCTCTGTTGTTTTATACAATTTGTTTTTATTATTGTACATCTCAAAAACAATATGAGTATAACTGTGTTTTTTATTTAAGGATGTGGGAAAAGGGAAAATAAGATTATATATTTATAGAAAATGTAGATTTAAAAAATTGTTAGATATACATTATCAAATTTCCTAAACACAAAATTTTGTTGACTGTATTACAAAACCTAGACTATATGGCTACACAAACTAGCTGATGCAAAAATATATATGTTCAGTGCCCTTGAGTAATTTTATTTCCCTGAGAAGGCCAGGAAATGCCCAAGATAACTTGGTCAGATAAGGTTATAGGGCAATTCACAATAAGTATTAACACACCCAGTGAAGACATAAAGGATATTCTGTACATGTTCAAGAAAGATATTGAAAGCAGCAACATTTAAATTAGAGTGACTAATAAAGAACACTGAGATAGAAAGATTTACATTAAGCCTTGAAGTGTCTGTGATAGATGGAGGAGTTCATTTGGGCAATAAGATTTTCTTAAAAAATAAGCGCAAAATGTAAGTTACAACTGCAGTCCAAAAGACTTTTTTTTCCCCTGAGTCATATGAGAGTAAGTTGCCAACATTAGGCCTTATTACTCTTGAATAATTCAGTGTAATTTTCCTGTGAACAAGGGTACTTTCCTTTGTAGTTACAAAGTAACCAACAAAATCAGAAAATTCATATTACTACCACCATCTAAAGACCCCATTCATGTTTCATCATTTGTTCCAATACTGTCCTTTATAGCAAAAGGGGCCAGTTAAAAATCACATCCTGCACTTAGTTGTCACTAAGTCTCTTCAGTTTTCAAGCTGGAACAGTTCTTCAGTCTCTGGCTTTTCTGACCTTGACAATTTTGAAGATATACACCAGTTACTTTGTAGAATGTCCTTCACATTTGGATTGTCTTATGTTTCCTCATGATTAAATTTGAGTGATCCAATTTGGCCAGGAATATCACAGAAGTGATGTCCCATAACTGGGATGGTAACTTAGATTATTTGATGAAGGTGATATATGCCAGGCTTCTTCAGGTTAAAATTAATCTTTTTAGTTTTGTACTTCATATTTTGTAGGGTGATACATTGAGATTATGTAAATATCTCATCCTCATCAAATTTTCAATTTATTAATTTACTTACTTATCCCAGCCTAGATTCATGAATTTCTATTCTCTTGCCCATGTTGGAGTGCAGTGCTGTGAACAAGGCTCACTCAATCTCCTGGGCTCAAGCAATACTCTCGCTTCAGCCTCCTGCACAGCTGGGACTACAGGCATACACCACCACACCTGGCTGATTTTTTTATTTTCTGTAAATACAGGGCCTCATTCTGTTACTTAGGCTGGCCTGGAACTCCTGGGCTCAAGTGATCCTTTCGATCTCCCAAAGTGCTGGGATTACAGGTGTGAGCCACTGTGCCCAACCACTGGCACGATTTTAATCCATTCTAGGCACACGTATTAGATAAGCTCCAATTTGGTGGAAAGAAATAATTTGTGTTCAGAGTACCTGGGATGAAATTTCGGCTGTGTCTCTAAGTAACCTTAGACAAGAAAAGAGGGACAATATTTTAATAATTTCTTTGAATACAAATACATGTGTTATCAATAACTACTTGCAGGTTAGGGGCAAGTCATGTCACCTCTCTGGTGCTTTAGTTTTCTTCTCTCAGAACACTAAAAATGTTTAACAACTGGTATACACCTTCTTACTGACTAGTAAGAGATAATGGCCATAGAGTTGGAGTAGGGTCTTGTAGGTCCTCTTTTAGTTGCTGGGTTAAGGTGAGGTCTGAGGTCCCAGGGAAGGGGCTGAGGCTGGCAGTCACTTGGGGGGCTTGGTGCAGCAGCTGTTTACCAGCCAGTAGGATATATCAATATTTAAATATTTTAATAATGAATACTGCCATAATGGTATATACTGGCTGAAAAATCAGGTCTATATATCTTACAGCACAGTGTCAGCCACAAATTAGGCAATCAGTATTAAAGAATGAATGAATAGGAGATTCACAAAGTGATAGTCTCCTGGAGCTCTAATAATCCGTAATTTTCATTCTATCAGTATTTAACTTACATGAGTTTCATTTTCCTTACTTACAAAACAGGGAAAATACCAACTATCTTGCAATGTTAGACTCATTTAAAGGAGTACATGAGGTAATTTGTGCAAATGTTCTCTGAAAAAATGAAAAATGATCTGCTCCATTGGTGATGTGAAAAGGTCTGGATGTAAAACAAACAAAAGTCAGGGTATTTAAGAAATTATATAGGTTATATTAACTTCAAAACCTCCCTTTATTAGCCATTGATAGAAAATAAGAATAGATCATTCACACATACATAAACCAACATATACAAATTATATTTTATAATTAAATGCCTGTATTTCATTTCTTACCCAAAAGATTGTTTGCAAGAAATTATTTTAATTCACCACAGATTTTCAATTGTTAAATAAATGAAGGTCATATGCAAAAGAAAGATAATTCATACCAATCAAGTTGCACAGCATTATATTGATTCATTCATATATTGTATGCCATCTAAAAATCTAGACTGTGCTAGTCTCTATTAAATAAATCCTACTACAAATGTGGATTAAAAGTATAAATCCTCAGAATGAAATCATAATTTATTCTTTTACATATAACTGGTATGGCAAGCTAGCTAGCTGAATATTTTCAATTCCTATATCATTCTTACCTGGAAATTTGACTGAAATACACAGCAGTCAACAGTTTTATAATGTCCCTTAAGCATAGTTATCTGTTCTCCTGAGTAAACTGTATAAACAGCAATGGTGCTACCATATGGTACAAAAACAAATTCTGAACTGCAGCCACAGGAGACAGTGAATTTCAATCCTTTTTTACTGTTATTACAAACTTTTCCATAGTTCACCTGTAGGATTAAAATCATAAAGTTACTCATCCCTTAAATCTGAATTTAAAAGACAACAAAGACTAGGAGAAATACTTAAAATATTATGCTATAAAAAGGGCTCTTTTAAATTTAAGGAAAATGTTCAACGTTGACGGATGAAGGGCCAATGACATGAATGTACATTTAACAAAAGAGGAAATACAAATAGTAAAAAACCACAAAGGTAAATGTTTACTTTTCAATCTTAATAGAAGTAAAATACAGACTTCAACCTTGAAGAATCATTTTAGACCATTTAGCAAAAAATTTAAAAAACATTAAGACATTAAATACTGGTACAAGCGAGGTAAACATGTTGGTGGCAGTGTAATTTGGTTATTCTTTCTAAAAGGGCAAATGGTTTATTAATGCTCTTTCTTTTCAAAAGAATAATATTGCTTCAAAAGAATATACCCCAAGAATATTTTTTGGGGGTAATACTCCCAAAAACCATTCTTTTCAAAAGAATGATATTTTTTGGGGGGGTTATATTCTTTTCTTTTTTTTCCTGCTGATACTTCTTTTATTTCTGTTTTAAAACAGAGTAGGGGTTAAATAAAGGGTATTGAGTTTGTCAGCTCCAGTCTCTTGGGGCTCTTTTTCCTGGAGAGAGTGCAGAGAACAGTGGGAAGAAAGAAACATAGTTGTGGAAGGGTTCTTTTAATGCGCAGATGCTTCAGGGAGAACCAAACTATTTCATTGGTAATCCCCCGTCCCACTGGAACTGGTGCTTGGATTGGAAGGGAAGTGAGATCAGACAGTTAGTCATCAACACCGCCATCAACATTGCCAGAGAGGTTGACGGCAGACATCATGGAATCAGACAGCTCCCTGGCGATTTTATCTGCACATTTCTGCCTATTCTTATTCTTTAGGGAGGATGCCAGAGCCTGGCCCTGTTATAGGGAGTCCATCCCCATGATCCTCTGCAGTACTGGGCAGCAGTCCACTGGGCACACATCCACTTTACTGTTGTTTTTAGGGTGGTGATCCACATTGAGTTTAGCCCCACCCCTTCTGATGACGATTCGGATTGGTGCAATACCCAGTGAGATCTCCGATCTTATACATGGTGGCTTTATTTTCAATGGCATCTGCTATTTTCATCATCGGATAATGGAGCAACTTGATCTCCATTTTGAGTGGGTCCATGTCACCCAACACCTCATCAGATTCTCCAGTGGCCAAGCATTCCATGGTGTCTTCATTGACCTGCTCGGTATTCTCGATGTGAAAGACCTTGGTCATTTCCTTAATGATCTCAGTGCTGAGATAGGCAGGCATTGTGAGTGGGTGGTGGTGGTAATAGAAGCTGATCTTCCCGCTCACCCAGTCAGCTAGGACAGCTTTGGCTGCCTGCTCCTGACTGCATAAGTCTCTCTTCCCCAAATGGTGGGCCACTGTCATCAGAAAGTGCTCAGTGGTCTGGTACCCAGAGAGGAGGTAGTAATTGGAAATCTCCAGGTTGTAGCTCTGCAAGATGGTCTCCACTGGGGTTACCGCATCTGCCAGCCTCTGCACGTGGATGCAACTATGCAGAATGGTGCCCACCTCGGAGCTGGGCCCTGGGACAATGGCTAGAGCATCCAGCAGCCAGATGAACTTGTCCAGGTAGACCTCCTGCATGAATTTCGTGACCCCAGGAACGGCTCCCACACGGCATGCATGGCTGTGCTTCAGGCTATTAATCAGGCTACTCTTCCCAACATCGGGAAGGCCCACAATACCCATATTGATGTGGGTGCACACTTCACCAAGGTGGCAATAGTTCCCCAGAACCCTCATGAGGTTTTCAGCTCCAAAGCTGACATGCTGGGTCCTGGCCTTGAAAGCCACAGTTGGCAACTCATTCTGAAGGTAATCCAGCCACTTCACAACCTCCTTGGGGTCCAGGTCAATCTTGTTCAAGACTAGGACCAGCTTCTTGTTGCCTTCTGCCCATAGAACAGCCTCCTCCATTTGGAAGCAGCAGCAGCCTAATGGGTCTCTGGCATCCATGACTTCCAGAATCACATCAGAGTATTCTACCACCTTACGGAACTCCTTGTAATAAGCCTTCCTCGTGGCCTCGTCATCCAGCTGAGGAAACATATTTAATTCCTGCAAAACTTCCTCCTTACACTCAAACTCCTCCTGGCGTGTTAGGATATCCTCACAGTAGCTCTTGATAGACCTGCGTTTTTGTCTTTCTTGCTCCTGGGCAGCTCGCTTCTCCCTCATCTCCTCAACTCTATTCTTTAATTCAGCCTCTTGACTGGCATGATCATTGGAATGAACAAACTGAGGAGCAGAGGGCACTTTGGAGGTTGCTTTCTTCCCATTTCGTTTTGCAGGCTTCTTACAGCCCTTGGAACCTTTACCTGGCTTTTCATTTTTGTTTCTAAGTTTCATCACGATCACCAGCTTGAAAGCAGATAGGCTCAAATCTGCTTGCTCTCTTCCTACACTTCCGGCGGGGATCTGAGAAGACAGGGTAACAGATGTTCTTGCACTGCTAGGGTCCAGACTTTGGACTTCTAGATGCCAGCCTGGCAGTGCCCGACTCTGCCGGTGTCTCCCTTATCTTTAGAGTTAAAAATTTTTTCATACACATAACATAAAATTTACCATCATAACCATTTTTAATGGTACTCAATGGCATTAAGTACATTCATGTTGTACAACTCTCATCGCTATCCATCTCTAGAACTCTTTTCATCTTGCAAAACTTTACCCATTAAACAGCAAATATATTCTTACCCCCTGACCTGGTAATTGCTCCTGTGAATTTATCTTTTTTTGTTGTCGTTGTTGTTGAGACGAAGTCTCACTCTGTCGCCCAGGCTAGAGTGCAGTGGCGCGATCTCGGCTCACTGCAAGCTCTGCTTCCCAGGTTCACGCCATGCTCCTGCCTCAGCCTCCCGAGTAGCTGGGACTACAGGCGCCCGCCACCATGCCCGGCTAAGTTTTTGTATTTTTAGTAGAGATGGGGTTTCACTGTGTTAGCCAGGATGGTCTCCATCACCTGACCTGGTGATCTGCCTGCCTCGGCCTTCCAATCCCTCCACCGGGATTACAGGCCTGAGCCACTGCACGCGGCCGGGAATTTATCTTAAGGAAATAATTAAATAGCAAAAGTTATATGCCCAGAGGAATTCTATACAGCATTATTTAGAATGGGGAAATAACTGAGAATAGGTGTATATTCCTAATGTCATATTAATTTTATGATTTATATAAATCATAATTATGAAACTTATGCAGAAAACAGGGATAAAGGCTAAGTGTAAAAAAGCATAGACCATAAATAGTTTGCACACTGTAGTTTTACCTTTAAATAAATAATTATGTATTTGGGACAAAAATTAAAATTCTACACTTGTATTCCAAAGGTGTAGTGTGCAGGCTCAGTAGTGTGAGCATCACCTGAAGCAGTTAGACATGCAGACTTCCAGGCCCCACCCCAATCCTACTGAAAATCATCTTCATTTTAACAAGATCCCTAGGTAATCTGTATGCTCGTGCAAGTTTGAGAAGCTTTGGGCTAAATAAATTGATGGGTTTACTTCCTGATAATAATTTTGATAAGAAGCTTGGGATGAGTGTAAAACCAGTAACTAATCATTTGGGAATCATGATCGTGCATATCAACAAAATCCATTTGTCGTCACGGCTAATACTGAAGTTTAAATAGTGATTTGTTGTCCGGGTGTGGTGGCTCACGCCTGTAATCCCAGCACTTTGGGAGGCCAAAGCAGGCGAATCACAAGGTCAGGAGTTCAAGACCAGCCTGGCCAAGATGGTGAAACCCTATCTCTGATAAAAACACAAAATAATTAGCCAGGCATGGTGGCAGGTGCCTGTAATCCCAGCTACTCAGGAGGCTGAGATACAGAATTGCTTGAACCCGGGAGGCAGAGGTTACAGTGAGCCGAAATGGCGCCACTGCACTCCAGTGAGTGACAAAGTGAGGCTTTGTCTCAAAAAAAACACAAACAAAAAAAAACAACTAATATTTTTTTCCCCAAAGGTTAGATGGGAGAGTGTGTGTGTGTGTGTATGTGTATATATGTGCATATGTATATACACATATATGTGTGTGTATATGTATATATGTATGTATATACACATATATATCCCTTCTCTTTATAGTTAAACATTTTTTCATACACATAACATGTGTTCCAGAATCACATGAGAGTACTGTACCAACTTACGGAACTCCTTGTAATAAGGCTTCCTCGTGGCCTCGTCATCCAGCACATATATATGTGTATGTATACACATACACATACACACAAATAAAAGCCCTGAGGTCAAAATGGATATATGCTAATAATCTATGGACACTATACTTGGCTTACTTTCCCTTTAGACTAACTTGGGCCAGAAATAGGTACATGCATTTAGCTACCTCATGGCAGCAGCAGTATAGTGGGTTAAATATTAAACTTATATTCGGCGGACTTGGGTTTTAAACACTCATCTTTCTTTTGTCCCTTATGAATAATGATTTAACCACTTCATTTCATTCTTCTTATCTGTTAAATGGAGTTAACATCATTTACTCATAGAGTTTTTTATTGTGAAAAAGCAAATGAAATAATCCGTATGAGAGTACCTGGAACACAAAGGTATTCAGTAAGTTCCTAGATTAATTCCTATACATGTTTAAAAGTATAACATTCCCTCATCTGTGTTTTCTGATGCTACATGTGCAACAATTTGCACAATGACATGGGGGTGGGGTGATGAAGAAAAAATACAAAACAGTTTTCAACTACTATTTCACTGGTCCCCCTGGAAAAATTATAAACTGCTAGACTGTGATGGGCTTATTCACATTTGTTTTATCAGGATACTTAGCTACAAAACCTATGTTCTCCCAGTATACCACGTTCCTTTCCAATTATGAACTGGAAGGTGTTGAATGAGGTATGAATATTGAACTAGTGCATTAACTTTTGTCTTGTCCTTAGGGTTTCTTCCTCCAATCCATTCAACTTAATGTCATATTAGTATTTCTTTTTTTTTTTGAGATGGAGTTTTCACTCTTCTTGCCCAGGCTGCAGTGCAATGGCATGATCTCAGCTCACCACAACCTCTGCTTCCTGGGTTCAAGCAATTCTCCTGCCTCAGCCTCCGAAGTAGCTGGAATTACAGGCATGCGCCACCATGCCCGGCTAATTTTGTACTTTTAGTAGAGACGGGGTTTCTCAATGTTGGTCAGGCTGGTCTTGAACTCATATTAATCTTTCTTTTTTGTTTGAGATGGAGTTTCACTCTTGTTGCCCAGGCTGGAGTGCAATGGCATGATCTTGACTCACAGCAAACTCCACCTCCTGAGTTCAAGTGATTCTCCTGCCTCAGCCTCCCAAGTAGCTGGGATTACAGGCTGCATGCCCTACTAATTTTGTATTTTTAGTAGAGACAGGGTTTCTCCATGTTGGTCAGGCTGGTCTTGAACTCCCGACCTCAGGTGATCTGTCCGCCTCGGCCTCCCAAAGTGCTGGGATTACAGGTGTCAGCGACCACACCCGGCCTTCATATTATATTTCTAAAGCAACATCGTGATCAAATCATTTGTGGGTTCAAACACTGTCAAAATCTTTCCAATGCCTATGGAATGAAGTTCAAATAACAGATTAAGGAAGGGAGGGAGCTACCATTTATTAAGTGCTTACTATGTCACACACTGTGCTAGGTAATTATCTAAGAACCCCATTTTATGAACATAAATGCTTATCATAAAGAGTGGTATGTTAAACATTATTATGAAAGTATTGAGGAACAGACTACTTTAAGATACGATGTCTTAAAAGTGGCATTTAAGGCAGGCTTTGAAAAGATTTTGATAGGGGAAGAGAATTTTGTGGACTTGGGATAGGATGATGGCAAATCCAGTTCCCTTATATTAATATGTGTTCCTTTTGTTGCCCCAGGAAAGATACATATCTAGTCACTAAGTGAATACCTATGTTGATGCAGAGACTACATCACAAGGCAGCTCATTTTACTGTCAAACAAGTACCAGCATAATAATTAACAATACTGACATACAGCATTTACTGAATGTCAACATTTGCTGTACCAGATAATGTGCTAAGTGTTGTACAAATGTTATTGCATATCCTCAGCACAATAGGAATATGATGAGATAGGCATTACTACACAAAAACAAAACACTTAGAAAAGCTAAATAATTTGATCAAGGTCTCTTGGCTAGTGAATAACTGAACCTAGACTACATCAATAAGAAACCACTGTGCCGTATTGTTGTAAATGATTTTTCTTTCATTCCGTGAAGTGATTATCACAGTACCTTACAATACAAGTGAGCACAGGATATTCTGGGAGCATCTAAGTTAGACTGGAGGAATTAAAGACAGAAGAGTCTTGAAAGCTAAGAAGCCGCTAGGACAGGAAGAAGAAGAAGGGTATGCTAAAGCAAACGTTAACAGTCTATGCAGCAGAATGAAAGGATGAGGGAACATGGTATATTTAAAGACTGCTAAGTAGTCCAAAGTCAGGGGAAAAAATGGTAAAGTTGTAAGACATAAAGCTGGTAATCTAGAAGGCACTGCTTAGTAAAGTCTTACACTCAAAAGACAAAGGCATTCAGTTTTAATAACCTAAAAATACTGGGGAACTACTGAGAATTTTCCACTGGGATTTGAGTTTGGGAAAAATTAGAAGGATGTTAGAGTAATTAAATAAAGAGATAACCCCAACAGTGAGGCTGGAAGATGACAGATAAAAAAAAATTGAGAAGGAAGAATTAATAGTTGGGATGAGGGACAGGAAAGAATAAAGAATAGACTCATAGGGTGACTGATAAAACCAGTAACTAAAATAGTAAACATCAGAATACCTACTTTTTAAATTTTAGGCTTTTTTCCTCTAATCCATCCTGCAACTTAATATCATATTAATCTTTCTAAAGCAATGCTGTTATCAAATCACTTGTGGGCTCAAAAATTGAAGATGTTTTTTCTTTTCTTGTGCTAAAACCTGTTACTTTGTGAAGTTTCCTTGTAGGTACTTGTTCTGTACTCTATGGCAATGGTCTCCAGAGGGTGGTTAACATACCTCAGGGAGTTTGCAAGGTATGAGGGGAAAAAATGTGATTTTTATCCAAAAATTAAGAGATTTTACTTTATTAAACATATTGACTCACAACAGAATTTGCACATAATTTAGAAATTATGTATACTTAAAAATGTATACTTAAAATGTACACTTAAAAATATTATAGTAAAGATACTATTACTAAGGCAACAATATATAATAAAAACAGTTACTATTTATGGTATGCCTATTATTTAGCAGGTACAATACTACTCTTTATTTACCTCTGTTTTACCCTTACAACTGAATTTTAGGTAGACAATATTCCCAATTTACAGGGTGAGAACACTGAAACCCTGACAAGTCTTTCATGATATCAGCTTAAATAACTGCCTAATGCTCTCAATTACTACATGGAAGGAGAAAGAAGCAAGAGGGTGCAAAAGGACTCTCCAGTGATTGTCCCCCTGCAGAAACATCAATTTGAATTATCCACGTAAAAGCTTCACAAGAGCTAATGAAACCAGATGAGACATCATAGTACCTGACTATAGCTTACCCGCATTACCCCTTCCACAACTCCAGGCAGCACAGCATGGAGAGTGATACTATCCGCTTGCGGGAAACAGGGGTAAGTAAGCATAGGACTTTGTCTTAGACCCCAATACCATGCCTACCACAATAAAACCCAGCAATAGACAGACCCCCACAGCCTCTGACTCTAGGCCAGAATGCATGGACTGAGTCTTAGACCCACCCTGGTGCGGCATGGGAACCAGTATTCCCTGTGAAATGGA